CATTTTTGTAAATATTTTATTATATCTTTTAATGTGACAACACTGAAGAAATGACACTCTGCTACAATGTAAAGTAGTAATTGTACAGCCTGTATAAAAATGTAAATTTGCTGTTCCATCAAAATAACTCAACACACAGTCATTAATGTCTAAACCGTTGGCAACAAAAGTGAGTACATCCCTAAGTGGAAATGTCCAAATTGGGCCCAAATAACCATTTTCCCTCCCCGCTGTCATGTAACTCGTTAGTGTTACAAGGTCTCAGGTGTGAATGGGGAGCAGGTGTGTTAAATTTGATATTTTCACTCTCACCTCTCTCTCATACAGGTCACTGCAAGTTCAACATGGCACATCTCTAAAGATCTGGAAAAAAGAATTGTTGCTCTACATAAAGATCACCTAGGCTATAAGAAGATTGCAAAGACCCTGAAACTGAGCTGCAGCACGGTGGGCAAGACCATACAGCGTTTTCACAGGACAGGTTCCACTCAGAACAGGCCTCACCATGGTCGACCAAAGAAGTTGAGTGCACGTGCTCAGCATCATATCCAGAGGTTGTTTTTGGGAAATAGACGTATGAGTGCTGCCGGCATTGCTGCAGAGGTTGAGGGGGTGGCTGGTCAGCCTGTCTGTGCTCAGACCATATGCCGCACATTGCATTAAATTGTATATTATGGTAACGTAGTGTAGCTATAACCTTAATTTTAATAATGACAGGAGTATTTTGCCTCCAGCAGCACAAGTCACTTAACCAATCTTAAACCAATCAGAAACAAGTAACACATTCCATATAAAGCCCTGACCACTGGCGGATCCAGAGTCTTATCTCAGGAGGGGCACTCAGACTATTTAAAGAAACAATCCAGGCACAATAACCACTACACCTCTCTGTAGTGGTTATGTTGCCAGGAGTGCCGTGGCGCCCTCCCAGAGTAAATAGTCAAACGGTTTAATAACAGTTTGACAATTTACCTGGGGTCTGCCAGGATAGGGGCTGTAGTAAGGGATAGATAGTAGTGTGTGTGTGTGTGTGTGTGTGTGTGTGTGAGAGTAGGCAGTGTGTGTGTGTGTGTGTATGTATAGGGGTGCAGTGGGAACACTGTGTGTAAGAGGGGCAGTGTGTGTTTGTGTGAGGGGTGTATTGGAAGCACTGTGTGTATGGGGCCCAGTGTGTGTATGAAGGTGTAGTGGGGGCAGTGTGTGTATGGGAGTGCAGTTGGGGAAGTGTTTGTGTGTGGGAGCACTGTGTGTATGTGGGTGCAGTGTGTGTGTGGGGGGGGAGACGTGTGTGGGGCTGCACTGTGTGTATGGGAGTGTAGTGTGTAGGGGGAGACGTGTGTGGGGGTGCAGTGCTTATGTGGGGGTGCACTGTGTGTGTATGGGGTGTAATGTGTATGGGGAGGGTGTGTGAGGGTATAATGTTTGTGTGGGGGGGGTGCAGTGTTTGTATGGGGAGCACTGTGTGTATGGGGAGAAGTGTGTGTGGGGTTCCAGTGTGTGTGGAGGAGAAGTGTGTGTGTGAGGTGCAGTGTTTGTATGGGGAGAAGTGTGTGGGGGGGGTGCAGTGTGTGTGGAGGAGAAGTGTGTGCGTGTATGGGGGCTGTGGGGGCAGTGTGTTTGGTGGGGCAGTGTGTATGGGGGGCAGTGTGTTTGGTGGGGCAGTGTGTGTATGGGGAGCTGCGGGGACAGTGTGTTTGGTGGGGCAGTGTGTATGGGGGGCTGTGGGAGCAGTGTGTTTGGTGGGGCAGTGTGTATGGGGGGCTGTGGGGGCAGTGTGTTTTATAACCCTCCCTCCCTTCCTACCTTTCCCCAGGGAGGGGGGATATTGCTTGTAATCCTTGGTGGTCCGGTGGAATCCCTGGTGGTTCTAGTGGGGAGTGAACTCTAGCCTGCACCTCCTGAGGCTAGAGTTCACTCTCGGGAGAACGGAGCATTGCCGTGGTAACCATGGCAATGCTCCGTTCTCGCGAGAGGAGACCCGGCAGAGCTGCAGGCTAGAGCTCCTCCTGGGTCTCCTCTCTCCATGACGGCTGCTCAGTAATATGTCTGCAGACCGGTGAGGGAGATCTTTGATCTCCCCTCTGGTCCGTGAAGGCACTTAGCAGGGCCGGCGCTTGGATAGCACCGGCCCTGCAGGAGAGAGCATCGGATCTCGGGGGGGCAATTGCCCCGTTGCCCCCCCCCCGGATCCGCCACTGGCACTGACAGGCATAGCTCTATCTCTTTCTTTGATGTGAATTGACAGTCTAGTACAAAATCGGGCAATATAACAATAACTTTGAAGAAACTTGATAACGGTAGAGTTGAAGAACGGATACTTCCAGTATATCCAACCTCGAGATCGTAGATAAAGGCCACACTGAAAAGAACAGAAACAATTGAACGGTAATGGTAATAAACGGATGCCCACATAACATAGACAATCAACATATAATTCAATATTAGGATATTATAATTCAACATATCAAATTAGTATATTGTATGAGATGTACTATATGGCAATAGTCCATAGTGGACAACTCAACAATCCTGTACTACCACAAGACAAGTCAGCGTATTTAGAATCACGCAATCAGTATGAATAGCACTAACTCGATAAAACTAGTAACCAGACGAAACCAAACTAAAGTAAAATAGCCGTCAAGGGAGGGAACCAAGGGAGGGAAAATACTCGTCTCCTGTCATTATTAAAATTAAGATTATAGGTACACTACGTTACATAATCTACAATTTTACAACATGACAGGAGGCTTCATATTTTGCATTTTTAACGCTGTGGAAGGAATACAAGATGCCTGTAGAGTCTGATTAAGTAAAATACCCTGAAAGTCTCTTTCCGCATCCAATCTGAAGGATATTGGTGAGGAAAACATGCGCCATGAATGCCCGAGATGCATCCACGCCCCAAATGACCGCTAAAACTGGTCTCCACGACCGCTAGGAACAATAGCCAACGTACCCACCCAGCTAATGTGGTGGTCGTAACTGGTATGAAAGGTTTGGTATACAAAAAGAGAGGCTGACTCGATTGTGAAGGCCGAAGAGGTGTAGACACCGCCACATAAAAAAAGAGTATGAGCTTCCCCGAGAGTTGTTGAAGTGAAAATACGAATCAACTGGCCAAACCCACAGGGAACAGAGAATTACGTCTACGTCACATAACCGAGTGTTTTTCAATACAGGTTCTGGATAGTATGATACCTCGTGACATACCAAAGGTTCTGACCAACTGGCATGCCCTGAAGCAGAATGTGACCTCCAAAATCTCTGATGGTACCTTGTGGGTTTGTCAGTAGAAGGGAAGACGATGGAAGGAGCAGTGGATGGTCCAGAGATGGAGTCAATAGGTCCGGGAACCATCTTTGATTCTGCCATAATGGCGAGGTGAATGTAACCTAGGTCTCTGTGATGTGAAGATGATAAAGTACTCTCGCAAACATCGAGAAAAGTGGCACGCATATGCCCCTTGCATTGGCCCAGGTTGGAGAAATGCATCCCCTGTTCGCATTGAGGTCTGGAAGCCAGACCGTTTGCATCATGGTATACACTGAGGTGTCCCTCTGCCAATCCCTGGCACGAAAACCAGTCCGCAGTGAGGTTGGTGATCTCCTGAGGGTACTCTGGTCAGAGAGTAACCTTGCATGGAAGTTAGAAATGGTAAATGTCGTTGGTTATTACTATTAGAGCCCAAGACCGGGCTCCGCCCAGGCGGTTTATGTATCAAGCAGGTGAGATATTGCCCATGTGTAGGAGAATGCAATAATCGGACATGTCCTTGGCTAGCTGCAGGTCACAGATGATCCTGACATCAGTCGTCTCTTTCCCAGACCATGGGCCTCCTGTGGGAGTATTTCACTATGAAATCTGGTGCCGATCCAAAGATGGCTCTGCCGTTCCATGTGGGAGCCATCATGAATTTCCGTTCACTCCTCTGGTGATACCATCATCCAGTGGTTCTAGGCAGGGCCGGACTGGGGATACGAAGCAGCCCTGGAAAAAAATCTATGCCAGCCCCATAAGTCATTGTGCTATGTAGGGTGTTATATATATATATATATATATATATATATAATACACAAGATCCAGCACACTCACCTATCCACTACACAGCAACTTCAATGTTGAAAGATTTTATTTGTTTTTTTTAAAACACCTAATCTAGGCAAAAATAATGGGGGTTTAGTTACATTATATGATCATACATTGCATAAGCCTGCCACAACGTCAATGTACCCCATCTTTGGCAGGTCCTACACTAACAGCCTAATGTCTGCTCTTATGAGATTAACCTAGTTGGGGAAAAAAATTCCATCTGGGGCTCTCTGCAGTACAAGGCTAAATAGGGCCTTTGGATGAGGCACCTGTGACAGGGAGGGGTGCAAAACCAAGGAGTTGTCTAGACTACCAAATATATATATATATAAAAAAAGAGGGGGTTGGCTGCACTCACCTTAACATGCCTTAACATATGCCTAACATATATATAGGCACTTGAAATAGTTGGCTGTACTCTCGGATTTCCTTAAAACGTAATTTTTTAAAAATATTTAAGAGAAGATCAACGTTTCAGTCCCTCTTGTGGACTTTCATCAGGATCATGATGAAAGTCCACAAGAGGGACTGAAACGTTGATCTTCTCTTACATAGTTTCAATAAAAGTTATGTTTTAAGTAAATCTGAAAGTGCAGCCAACTATTTCAATTGCCTGGATACTGGAGCCCTGGTGGTTAACCCGGTCGCACAACTTTGAAGTCTGAGCGCAAGGTACAACAGCTTTTATATATATATATATATATATATATATATATATATATTATTGATACATTTCTTCTTCTAATTCAAAATATTAGTTCTTTCAGGGTAATTAAATTATACAGTAAAGCATACTCACACACAGACACAGACAATCTTACTGATGCACACAAATAGGCTCATTGACAGACAATCTCAATGACACACACAGACAAGGTTACTGGCACGCACACAAATTTAGTACAGACAAACTCTAACACACACACAAGCTTACTACAGACAAGCTCACTGTCACACACACACGCTCACTACAGACAAGCTCACTGATGCGCACACACTCTCCCTACAGACAAGCCCATTGACACACACATGCTCCCTACAGAAGAGCTCACTAACACACAGATTCACTACAGACAAGCTCACTGACACACACATGCTCACTACAGACAAGCTCACGATCACACACATGCTTACTACAGACAAGCTCACTGTACACACACACACACATATCCCTACAGAAAAGCTCATTGACACACATACAAGCTCACTCACAAGCAGGAACAGACACACAAACTCACTAGCAGGCGCACACACACAGAGGCTCCCTCACTAGCAGATGCGCGCACACACACACACACAGAAACTCGCTCGCTCACTCACTAGCAGATGCACACACACAAAGACAGCCACACACACAGAGGCAGACAGTCACTGACACCGAGGCAAACATACAGAGACAGGCAGACAGCCACCCACACACACAGGCAGACAGTCAAACACACAGGCAGACAGCCACATACACAGGCAGACAGCCACACACACACAAACACACACACAGGTAGACAGTCACACACACACAGGTAGACAGCCTCACACACACACACACACACACACACACACAGGCAGCCAAACAGACACAGTCACACACAGGCAGACAGTCACACACACAGGCAGTCACACACACAGGCAGACAGTCACACACACACAATCACACACACAGGCAGGCAGTCACACACACAGGCAGACAGTCACACACACACAATCACACACACAGGCAGACAGTCACACACAGACAGTCACACACACAGGCAGTCACACACACATACACACACAGACAGTCACACACACAGGCAGACAGTCACACACACAGACACACACACAGGCAGACACACACACACACACACACACAGGCAGACAGTCACACACTCACAGGCAGTCACACACAGACACACTGACCTGCTTCTTACCTCCACATCCCTTGGAGCTCCTGGAGGCTGGTTGTTGGGGAAGCAGGGACTCCTTCCTGCTTCCCATGCAGCAGTTAACAGGGCCCCCGCTGCACACTAAGCTCCGCTGCCACACGCTAGCTCCGCCCCCACCCCAATATTTTTATTTTTAATTTTTAAATGATCCCGGCCGGCCATGTGTGAGCTGTGCAGGCCGCCTGGCTCCCCCTGCTCCCATGGGGCCCTGTGCAGCCGCACAGTTCACACATAACCGGCCGGGATTACAGGAGCCTGATCACTAATTAGGGCTGTCAGGTCAGCCCAGCCCCAGGTGCCGCGGCCCACCGGGAAATTTCCTGGTCCCTGGTGGGCCAGTCCGGCCCTGGTCCTAGGAGTGCCCTGTCCCCAGGTAATAGGCTTTTGGGTATTACATAGCCCAGTAATGAGTCCCTGGGAAGGTCACCTGTATAAAAGAAGAAAGGAGTCACATCACTCTGGCCAGGAACTGAAGGGAAATTTAGTTCTTGCAGAGTATGTAACACATCTCCCTGTGAATTCTGGTCCTTTCACACAATCCATTGAATCCTAACATGTCATCTAGATAGGTAAGGCAACGGATTCCCTTGTGGTGAAGGTGCGTCATGACTGGCTTCAGGAGTTATGGGTTGAACCCATAATGGTAGACACGTGAATTGGCATTGTCGGTCCAGTCAGTGAAACCAAAGGAATGGATGACTCCCTGGTGTGATCAGCATGGACAGGTATGTGTCCCTCCAATCCAAATGAGTGAACCCATCCTAGGTGTGAAGGAGATCTCGCAGAAGATGAGTACCATCCATCTTGAAGCGACGATACACCTCGAATATATTGGGTAGGCATACGATGATGATGGGTTGATAGTCTTTTGACCATGAAGATATTGCTGAGGTATGGAGTAAATTGCCCAGCGCTTCTGGTGAATAAGGTGCAAATCTCCTCATGATATGAGGTTTGTGGTCCTCCGGTACCCGTAGGGGAGGCGGTTTTGGGAAATGGAAATTGCAACCCCCAAGGGTTGAACAGTAATCCTGATTAAGTATTAGCCCACTGAGCTAACTTACCACACTGGGTCGTTCTGCCCATTAGAATAGAGGAATTCAATGACATATCCTCTGACCGTCTGGAGGATTCTAGCGTCCGTAGAGATTGCTTCCCAGTTTGAGAAAAGGAGACCTTTGGCCATGGTTACATCATGAGAGCGTTAAAACAGGAGATATCTACGAATATATGTGTTTCTTCAGTACCGTTAGGAACCGCTCTCTGAACAGGAGACCATTAGCCAATGAACCACATTCCTTTTCCTCAACTCTACGAGTTTGGTGTCCAACTTGGAAAGGGCCACCCTGCGGTGTTAGGCCCTATGCCATGTTTGTAGTGCCCAGTTTCTTCATGCTGAGGATAGCGCCGCAGAAGGGGTGAGTTAGGGCCAATTCAGAGCCCCAGGCCGGTACATGGGCCTGAATCTCAGAGCCACGCACTCGGTGGGCTCATAAAGTCCAAGTCCAGCCTGTTAAGGGAATGACAGATGAACAGGTTGTTCTGTTGCCACTGGTAGCTGGTGGTCCTCCACCTACGTGGAAGATGTTTCTGGTTTGGTTCCCTGAGGATCTTTGACATTGGCGTAGAAACAATGGTCGCAGCTGTGACTGGGCCTGTCACAACAAAGGTCCCGCCCGCAGTAGCAAACCCTGTCACCATGAGCCACCACAACTTCAGGGCTGGTGCACTGCCGCTCCAGCCCTGGGCCCACAGTTGCTGGGTGACCGGCAGGAGGGGAGCATTGTCCTGTGCTGCTCCTCTGTGTGTAGTGTAGAGAGAGGGAATGAGACAAATGGAGGGGCTGGGGGGAAGAAGATTTAGACAAATCTGGAGTGAAAGCAAAATCAAATCAAAATTGCATGCAGTTTTAGCTGGGACTGCAGCTTGAGTAAGTGGTATATGCCAGAGCAGGGCCGGATTAACATAGGGGCTGATGGAGCTGTAGCTCCAGGCCCAGGCCCAGGCCCAGGCCCAGGCCCATGGAATAGGCCCATTGATTTAAAAAAAAAAATATATATTTTTTTTACATACTACGCTTAGGGTTGCCAGGTATTTCTCATGTATTTCTTAGGGTATTTGAGGCTGCCTAGCCAGTGCCGATATTGCAGTAATACCGGCAATACAAATGTCTATCTCAGTATAAACAGAGATTATTCTGCAATACCAGCACTGGCCAGTAGGGGTCGCTGTTTGTACGGAGAGAGGCAGGGATAAGAAGTTACAGCATCTCCCTTCCTGCCTCTCTCTACTTACTGACCCGCGGGGAAGCAGCTCTGCGCAGAGAGTCCAGACAGCAGCTCCAAGCCTGCGAGACATGAGGACCCTGAGACACTAGGGACACAGTGACCCCATGTCACCCAGTGGCCCCTAGTCTCTCAGTGTCCCCATGTCTCCCAGCCAGTGTCCCTAGTGTCCCCATGTCTCCCAGTGTCCCTGTGTCCCCATGTCTCCCAGTGTCCCTAGTCTCCCAGAGTCCCCTAGTTTCCCAGAGTCCCCATGTATCTCAGTGTCGCCATGTCTCTCCCAGTCTCTGAGTGTCCCAATGTCTCTAAGTGTCCCCTAGTGTCCTAGTGACATCAGGACACTGGGAGACACGGGGACACAGACTCCAAGGGACACTGGGAGACATGGGGACACTGAGAAACTAGGGGACACTGGGTGACTTTGAGACCTGGAAGATATGGGGCACTACCAGTGTCCCCATGTCTTCCAGCCAGTGTCCCTAGTATCTTAGTATCCCCATGTCTCCCAGTGTCCCTGGTGTCTCTCAGTGTCCGTAGTGTGCCAGTGTCCCTAGTGCCTCAGTGTTTCCTAGCCTCCCAAAGTCCCCTAGTGTCCCAGTGTCTCAGTGTCCCAATGTCTGCCAGTATCTCAGTGTCCCCTAGTATAAAAGAAAAATCTCAGGCACTCAAGTCTCCAGTGTCCCCTATTTATCACAGTGTCCCCTATGTATCAGAGTGTCTCAGTGCCCCATGTCTCCCAGTGTCCCTGGTGTCTCTCAGTGTCCGTAGTGTCTCAGTGTCCCCTAGTCTCTCAGAATCCCCTAGTCTCCCAGTGTCCCCATGTCTCACAGTGCCCCCAGGTGTCTGTGTCCCCAAGTATAAAATAAAAAAATCTCAGGCACTCACTGTGATAGATTTAAGCAGGTTTATTAGACACTGCAACATTTTGACCTGTACCCAGGTCTTTATCAAGTTTCCAGTGTTCCCTATATATCACAGTGTCTCAGTGCCCCATGTCTTCCAGTGTCCCCTCATGTCTCAAAGTCACCCAGTGTCCCCATGTCACCCAGTGTCCCCAAGAATCTCTCTTTCCCCAGGTCTCCCAGTGTTCCCTAGTATCTCAGTGTCCCCATGTCTCCCAGTGCCCCAATATCTCTCAATGTCCCCTAGTGTCATGGGGACACTGAGAGAAATGGGGACACAGACACTAATGGACTGGGAGACATGGGGACACAGACATGCCCCCTTTTTCTGTATGTTCACCTCTTTCAGAAGTTCTGGTTATGTGATTTGTGTCAGTGGCCCACCCTTTTACGCGATCCATAGACTTCCTGCTTTACTGGACACTGCTGTTAGGGGGTATGGGTTTACTTGAAAGATGAAAGCTTAAGATTAGTATAGGGTATGTGTTTTCTCATAGCTGCATCCTATGAGTTTCCCTCCAGCACCATCTCCATCAGATACATGACGCTTAGGAGGTAGGACTGTTTTAGTGTTTTTGGTCAATAAGATTTTGTAATTAATCATAATTGTCAGCACCAGGCCACTGGGCTCTTAATCTGGCCCTGTGCCAGAGGGGAACGGAAATAACCCCCACTTGTCTGAGGAGGGAATGGGATGGGGCAGCTTAAGCTCCTTGAATGTGATTCCTGTTAAGTGGTGCAGGAGATCAGCTGCCTTCCCGGCCACCGAGAACACTATGTTTTGGAGTCACCTCTGAGCTGTGCAACAAGAGGCCTTCCGTGAAGTATCCAAAGGAACCCCACTCAGCCCCACAGGTCAGAAGGACATGATGTAGGCTGGATCAGGATGATTGGAGTAGAGTATGTTGTCTTAAAGCTGAGGCTGTGGCAGGAGATTTTCCCTAACGCATCCAGCCGCCATGTAGTTCAGGCCCCGCTCTCCTTTGGGATGAAATTTATGGTAATGTACAGGTTGCCTTCACCGACCCAATGGTGGCCTTGGTGACTGAGTGGGATTATAATAAAAAAATATCCTCTCTTTTGTAGATCCTGTAACTGCAGCATATAGGATTTCCACTTCCATCAGTGAGATCTGTCCCGACTTGGAAGTTGATGACACCTATTAACCCCTTAAGGACGCAGCCAAATGTACACATTGTGAACGAAACAAAATGTAAACAAAACCTGGCATTTGCGCTACATGTCTGTCCAACCGTAATTCAACTCTTTCATAGTAAATGCACCCACCCTTATTATATATCATTTTATTCAGGGGAAACAGGGCTTTCATTTAATATCAAATATTTGGCTATGAAACATAATTTAATATGAAAATAATGGGAGAAAATTCGCTTTTTTTTTTTCTACATGACATTTTAACTGTCAATTTCATAATACGGTTTGCTTTTACTGCAATAAAATACACATATTTGTATTCAGCAAAGTCTCACGTGTAAAACAGTACCCGCTATGTACAGGTTTTATGGCGTTTTGGGAAGTTACAGGGTCAAATATAGCACGTTACATTTGAAATTGAAATTCGCCAGATTGGTTACGTTGCCTTTGGGACTTTATAGTAGCCCAGGAATGAAATTTACACCCACCATTGCATACCATTTGCAATAGTAGACAACCCAAGGTATTGCAAATTGGGTATGTCCAGTCTTTTTTAGTAGCCATTTGGTCACAAACACTGGCCAAAGCTAGCGTTAGTATTTGTTTGTGTGAAAAATGCAAAAAACGCCAATTTTGGCCAGTGTTTGTGACTAAGTGGCTACTAAAAAAGACTGGACATACCCCGTTTGCAATACCTTGGGTTTTCTACTATTGCAAATGGTATGCAATGGTGGGTGTAAATTTCATTCCTGGGCTACTATAAAGTCCCAAAGGCAACGTAACCAATCTGGCGAATTTCAATTTAAAATGTAACGTGCTATATTTGACCCTGTAACTTCCCAAAACGCCATAAAACCTGTACATAGCGGGTATGCCATCATAGGGGTAATTTTCATTCTTGGGCTACCATAGGGTCTCAAAGGCACCGTAACCAATCTGGTGAATTTTAATGTGAAAAAAATGAAACGCAAGCCTTATATTTGATGCTGTAACTTTTGAAAACACCATAAAACCTGTACATGAGGGGTACTGTTGTACTCGGGAGACTTCGCTGAACACAAATATTTGTGTTTCAAAACAGTAAAAAGTATCACAGCAATAATATGTCCGTGTAAGTGCTGTTTGTGCATGAAAAATGCAAAAAACGCACTTTTACTGGCGATATCATCGTTGTAATACATTTTACTGTTTTGAAACACTAATATTTGTGTTCAGCGAAGTCTCCCGAGTAGAACAGTACCCCCCATGTACAGGTTTTATGGTGTCTTGGAAAGTTATAGGGTTAAATATAGTGCTAGCAAATTAAATTCCCTTTACTTTCGGCATGGGTTGTCAGGCAGGTCCCGCTAATTGTAATTAATTAAGATACCTAATTATGTAAAAATATTACATAAATATATATGTAGAATTAATATATGTATATATATATATACGTATGTGAATCTATATGTGTATATATATATATAAATTTTTTTTTAAATATTTTTATTTATATATAGGTATATATATATAGTGATATATACGTATATATTTATGTATGTAGATATATATAATTTCGTTCTACGTGTATTTTGATATAAATATATATATATATATATTAATATCACAATACAGTTAGAACGAAATAACACACATCTATATATTTTTTTATTATTTTTTTAATTTTTTTAATTTTATTTTTTAACATATTTACATATTTAATTTTTTTATATTATATATAAATATATATATAACAATAATTATATATATATTTAATCAGTATCAGTCTACGTGTAATTTGATATTAATATATATATAATTATATATATATATTAATAGTAAAATACACCTAGACAGTGTATGTGTGTGTATGTATATGTGTATATATTTACTTAGATCATATATATATATATATATAGATATATATAAATATATCTAAGTATATATATATTTTTTTTTACACTTTACTTTTTAATTAATTTTATTTTCATTTCATTTCCAGCCAGCAGGGGGACCACCTGTCATTACAGGCAGCCCCCCTGCTGGCAATGCAGGAGGCAGCTACCCCCGGCCATGTGATTGTGGGGTCCTCGCAAGGACCTCACTCTCACATGGCCGGGGGGCACCGGAGAAAGAGGATCTACCGCGGGGGGGCTCCCTGGGAGTCCTCCCCACCGCGATCGCCGGCGTGGGACCGCCGGCGACCGGGTAAGTAAGAAAAGACCGGAGGGCTTACAATTACGCCCGGCGGCGTTTAGAGCCGCCTAAAATAGGGCGTAATTGTACGCCCTCCGGTCTTAAGGGGTTAATCAAACCCATCTTCTCCACAGCACTGGAAATATGAAATGAAATACAATAACAAAACTTCTTTTGAGAGACAAGATAACAATCTAAAATACTGTTTTCTAAGATTAAGTTTAAAGTATGACGGACCGCCGGCACCCCGACCGGGTACCTCCGTCAATCGCTGCTTCCTAGTACTGACAAGTACCATAAGCACTGCACTGGAGCACCATAACCACTGCAAATCCCGCAAACCACTGCAGCTTGGTTTGGGTCTCGCTGTCTCCTACCCATCCCGGACCTACGACAAGGCTCCAGGTTCCAGTGGGTGAACCTCTCTCGCTTCAGAGAGTCAAGCAGGAACAGCTCTTAAAAGAGCTTAGTGATTGTACTCAGGGAAGTATAGTGATTATAGCAATCCCACAGAGTGTAGTTCTCCAATCCCCCAAACATGAGCAAAGACTTCATGAAGGTGCAGTCTATGACATGTCCATGTACAGCACACAATCCCTCCCTCTGCAGAAAAACACATTTTCACAAAGTTCAGAAAGTACCCCAAAACATAACATTACAACCCCTGATAGCCCTGATCTGGGTGAACAACATATGCAAAAATCACCCAGATCAGAGCAGGGGTTTAAAAGTTTCATGGAAGTCTCTCTTTGATCTATTTCCAATGATAAAAGTGCACTTCAAATAGTCGAACGGGACCGTTTGTGCACAAAATCAGGGTTGAAGTGTGTTCGGTAGATTATTTCTACTGAACGGTGCTCTGTTCGTTCATATTTAGCCAAACATAGATGGAGGTGGAAGTCCCAGCGGTGTTCGTGCATCGAGTGTCCGATTTGAGTTCCATGAACTCGACGGCGACACACTGCTGACCGCATTCAATTAAACAAGATGGCCACCGCCACATGTTGACTATACGAACGGTGACCACCCAGCCGTTCGTCAATTAAGCGCTTGTGAAACTCCCAGCCTGGGGGGTAAATGGGCTGCACACTCCAATTGTGTGTGGTCCGATTGTTCGGTTGTTTGTTCAGTAAACGAACACCATAAATATAATCCATTCGGTAGCCCCATATACCGAACCCCAGAGGTGAAAAGGCATGAACAAAGCCTGTCCACAGTGCTGAAGCCAGGTCTAATCCATTGGCCATAGTCCTGGGGCAAGTGGCTGGCAAACAAGCTCCTCTAAAAACTTGTGGCAAACTCACAGGAAAAGGGGAGTTTGTCACATAAAGGAACACTCCAAACAATAAAAGCAGTTTTATAAATTAACCCTCATATACCCTCCAGGGCAGTGATCACGGGGTTACAGCCAAATACACCTGTAAGAGGCCCAGGTTATCTAGGGGGCTCCGGCTGTATATCCCCAATGAGTGTGTGTTGTGTATATATACAGATGAGAGTCCCTGGACCATTGCCGTCTTGTATAGATTCCATAACTCCAGTTCTGTTATCTCCTGGTTTTTATATCAGTGGAGCTAAAATCAAAAGACAGGCAATTGTTCAGAGTACCTGCCTTGCAAAGGCTTCTCATTGAGCTGCATTGGGAAGTCTGTGATTGGGCAGTCACAGAAAGTGGCGCAATGGAGTTTCCCTTTAGTTTCTCGTCTACTTTTTTGTAAAACAATTTAGAGCGGTTTCTTATATTTATTGTATTTCTTGTTTTTATTTTATGGCCCCAGTATTTAATAGAATAAAGCGGAGGTCTCTCTCGCAAGGTTTTCATTTATATAAGCTGTGGTGGAACAAATACTTCAAATATAAATATATTTCAAATATAATTTA